TTATACGGACTCTTGTACTTGTCTGCTTGTACTCAAAGTATAAGCCATCGCCCATTGTCAGAACAACTGCACTTCCAGCTGCACCCGTGGGGCGGTGTAGGGAACCTTCAGTGTATATGATTTGAGAGAGAGAGAGAATGCTCTGTGGACAGAGCATCAATATGGCTTAAGGCGTTGAGCTTTGCCTTAAGACGAAACTTGGACTGATCTCTAGGACGAACTGGGGATAATATGTTCTCCGCATCCCATCCTGCATCCCATCCCTCTCCCAGTTCCTAGCCATTGCTAATATTCTCTCTCCATATTTCATAACCTCTGAATAAATACTTCTCCGTGACTGTACATATTTGAGTTTGAGCTTTTATATGTTCCTCTGTTTTCAGTCTCTGACGCGAGCATCATTTTTATCAATAGATTTTCCCTTCATCTCGTACCCGTCATGTCTGGCACCCTTCTCTGTGTTGCGTCCTGCCTGTGTCCTCACCTAGTGGTTCCTCTTGTATAGTTGTGCCTGTCCTGCCTGTGTCCTCACCTAGTGGTTCCTCTTGTATAGTTGTGCCTGTCCTGCCTGTGTCCTCACCTAGTTGTTCCTCTTGTATAGTTGTGCCTGTCCTGCCTGTGTCCTCACCTAGTGGTTCCTCTTGTATAGTTGTGCCTGTCCTGCCTGTGTCCTCACCTAGTGGTTCCTCTTGTATAGTTGTGCCTGTCCTGCCTGTGTCCTCACCTAGTGGTTCCTCTTGTATAGTTGTGCCTGTCCTGCCTGTGTCCTCACCTAGTGGTTCCTCTTGTATAGTTGTGCCTGTCCTGCCTGTGTCCTCACCTAGTTGTTCCTCTTGTATAGTTGTGCCTGTCCTGCCTGTGTCCTCACCTAGTGGTTCCTCTTGTATAGTTGTGCCTGTCCTGCCTGTGTCCTCACCTAGTTGTTCCTCTTGTATAGTTGTGCCTGTCCTGCCTGTGTCCTCACCTAGTTGTTCCTCTTGTATAGTTGTGCTTGCTTGCGGGGGGGTTGAGCTTTGGCTCTTTGGTCCCGCCTCTCAGCTGCCAGTCAACAGCTACACCGGACTGTCCTCACACTTCATCCGCAGCAATTTCGACGCTGTCCACCATGAATATTTTGCGCTGTAGTGAAGTTAAAAGCAGTGAAATATTGCTGTATCTATTGACTAACTTCGGGTGGGGGGGGAGGGGGGGGGAGGGGGGGGGGGAGGGGGGGGGGAGTTGTCCGGATGTCTGTCTGTCTCCCATCTGCCTATCCATTCCTTACCTAACCATCTATCTATCTGTATATTTATATATCCATACATCTTTCAATTTATCAATGTATCCATTTCTGCATCCATGTATCCATCCATCTATCCGTCTGTCTGTCTATCACTCTATCTAACCAGTTATATAAAAATATATCTTTCTATCCATCCATCCATCCAGCTCTCCATTTTTCCCATCTTCTATCTTCTATCCATCTATCAATTTATTCAGCATCAATCCATCTATCGGTATATATATATATATATATATATATATATATATATATATATATATATATATATATATGTATATATATATATATATATGTCGTACTTAATAGCCAGAACTCACTTATTGGCCTACTATGCAAGGCCCGATTTGCCTAATAAGCCAAGTTTTCATGAATTAATGTTTTTTCGACTACCTAACCTACCTAACCTAACCTAACCTAACTTTTTCCGCTTCCTAACCCAACCTAACCTATAAAGATAGGTTAGGTTAGGTTAGGTAGGGATGGTTAGGTTCGGTCATATATCTACGTTAATTTTAACTGTAATAAAAAAAATTGACCTCATACATAATGAAATGGTATATATATATATATATATCCCCATCTAACTGTCCATTTACCTAACCATATATCTATCAATCTATTTCTTTCTATCGATCAATCTATCATCCATCAATCAATATATCAATCTACCAGCCCATCTATTTACCAATCTGTTTATCCATCTATCAATATATCTCTGCATTCGTCTATCTATCCATCCACCAATCTATCCATATGTCCATCTATCTATCCTTGCATCCATCTATTACTACATCAATCAACCATCTATCCTTCTAGGTTTACGTCTATCCATCATCTATCTTCCTGTCTATCCATTCATCTGTTCATCTATCTAGCCATCTATCCATCCATTCTATCATCTACTAATGTGTCTATCCATTCATCTATTCATTTATCTATTCATCTATTAATCCATCTACTCATCTGTCTATTCCTCTTCCAATCCACCTACCCATCTCTGTCTCTGTGTCTGTCTGTCTGTCTGTCTGTCTGTCTGTCTGTCTGTCTGTCTGTCTGTCTGTCTGTCTGTCTGTCTGTCTGTCTGTCTGCCTGTCTCTCTCTCTCTCTCTCTCTCTCTCTCTCTCTCTCTCTCTCTCTCTCTCTCTCTCTCTCTCTCTCTCTCTCTCTCTCTCTCTCTCTCTCTCTCTCTCTCTCTCTCTCTCTCTCTCATAAAAACATTAATTTTGGGTGGGCCCATTAACAGTGGGCGCTAATGAGAAATATTAAAAATTTAATAGTTACCCAATTTACTCTGATAAGGGTCAAATGAACCTCAGAGGTCATAGAAGAGTAATCTGTTTAAGGGACTACGGCCAAATTACGACCAACAGGGAATTTCTGTTAAGTTTCCTGAGATCAATGAATATTGGTGAATATTACTATAATAATATTTTTGGGAAAATGTTTGCTTTCGATATATTTAGGTGCGTAGTAGGCGGGCAGTGCCAAAAATCGTCGTGGGGGTCTAAATGTGAACATAGCACACTGTTCCTTTTTAAATTCTGACAACCCCGACAATCCTATGTTCATCCTGTACCCCTGACCATTCCCTCTGCCAATTTGGGTGTGGCTAGCCCAAGGCGTCTGGCCTCCAACCTTGGACAGATAAACATAATTTTTTCTGATAGGTTCAGATAACAGCCGGCCTTGATAGATAGATTGTGTGGGTTTGGTTCGTACGCTTCTGGTCAATTACAACCACTTTAAAGCAGAAGAAGTTGTTAAACACATGGAGGCATAAGCGTCACAAATACTCATACACCGCCTAAGTAAAACAGAAACAAAAAAAACAAGTAACACTTAGTGGGCCAGCCGTAGGCTTAGGGCCCGCCCAGTGGGCCAGCCGTAGGCTTAGGGCCCGTGGGCCAGCCGTAGGCTTAGGGCCCGCGCTGGACTGACGTTCTTGGAGTCACTAGGTCGAGCCGCTCTACAAAAGGTCGCCAGGTCCAAGAATGCGGGAGCTTTCCGCTATTGTTAAACTTGGACTTGTGTGTATTGAAACTGAGATTCTCATACATGTTTGAGTAATACTTTTAGCTCGAACACTTCCTCATATGCAGTAATACTCTGGGTTAAAATACTTTCTCATACGCAGTAATGCTCTGCGTTCAAATACTTTCTCATGTTGAATAATACTTTGGGATCGAAGACCTCGTCGCGTAATCTATATCATGTCTGTATATACTTCTTATCCCGCCTCTATAATACATAGTAACCTTCCACCCTTGGCTTCTTAAGCTTAACAAAGAGGTTAAGTTTGCAAGTTAAGCTTCACAAAAGGGTTCTGATCCATCTAATATTAAAGTAATGTTAGGGAGCTGAAGCGGTGACTCCCCACACTAACATGCTGGAATCAGAATCAGAATAATACAGGAGAAGATGCCCATAGGGGCGAGCTTGGAAGTGGGGACAGAAGAAGATAAGGGGGGGTGAGAGGAAGAAGATTTGTAGGATAAAAAGTGCCAGGGCTAAACCCAGCTGCGTGTCGTTAGGTTGCGGCATTCGTGGCAGGGACTCAGTCGGGTGTTTTCAGTGACTATTTCAACTATTCTTTCTGGGACAAGCAAAATCATATTGCCAGGAGAGAGCCTAGGCTGCGGAACTTTGATGATTAGGATCACCAGGAAAGTTTTCCTGGGTCGTCTTGCAGGGAAATTAGTGAGCGAGGCTTGCCTGACGAATGGGATAGGAGAGTTCTCAACCCGATAACAGGCGTCAGAAGCCCTTTACTCCTGTACCTGTACCCGTACCTGTACCCACCTGTACCTGTACCCACCTGTACCTGTACCCACCTGTACCTGTACCCACCTGTACCTGTACCCACCTGTACCTGTACCCACCTGTACCTGTACCCACCTGTACCTCTTACCACCTGCACCTGTACCCACCTGTATCTCTTACCACCTGTACCTGTACCCACCTGTACCTGTACCCACCTGTGCTTAAAAAAAAGAAAAAACCCGGGAAAAAAAGCCTAGTTTGGAAACTTGCTGAATACAAATATGTGAAAACGACAATAAAGACAAATTGTGAAAACGGTGATATTCCCTTTGCTGTTAGGAGAGATTTGATTCACTCCATCACAATCGACTCCGACGAATGCTCCACCGTTCACTTTGTGTGTGGGGGGAGGGGGGGGGGGAGAATGGCAGTCAGTGAAATTGACAAACTGGAAAATGTCGTTATCTCAAACCCATTTGGCATGCGAGATTAAGGTGATCCTCACTTGTCTGAAACAGAGGAGGAAAATAAGGTTTTATATCATCCAACCACATTCTCGGTGTTATTAATGAAAATTAAACAAGACTTCATTTTCCTGTTTGCTTCAGATAATCTACGTTAATTATATTTTCTGTCTGTTATTTATGTGTTTATGAATACGGTTCTGTAACTTGAATATTATATAAATTCTGTAGACCAGAGCACACACTAGAGGGTGAAGGGACGACGACGTTTCGGTCCGTCCTGGACCATTCTCAAGTCGACCTGAGAATGGTCCAGGACGGACCGAAATGTCGTCGTCCCTTCACCTTCAAGTGTGTGGTCTGGTCCACATACTTTAGCCACGTTATTGTGACTCATCGCCTGCATAAATTCAATAACTTGAATATTATATAAACCTTCCACTGACTTTCATACGAGCATGAAATAAGAGTTTGTTTGTGTGTGTGGGTGAGAGGTTCGGGATGCAGGGAGCCAGGTGGTGGTGGCCGAGGTGGCCTCAGCGACCCCTTCCTTCACCGTGAGCGGCCTGGCCCCTGGCAGGGACTACCTGGTCCTCGTCACCGCCACCAACATCAAGGGACAGTCTCCCCCCTACCTCATCCCTGGCTTCGCCCTCAAGGTCGCAGAGAATAAGATAAGTGAGTTATTTGGCAGTTTCTGTGGAGGCCGATATCACCAGCCTCCCTAGGGTATGTGTGTGTGTGTGTGTGTGTGTGTGTGTGTGTGTGTGTGTGTGTGTGTGTGTGTGTGTGTGTGTGTGTGTGTGTGTGTGTGTGTGTGTGTGTGTGTGTGTGTGTGTGTGTGTATGTGTGTGTGTGTGTGTGTGTGTGTGTGTATGTGTGTGTGTGTGTGTGTGTGTGTGTGTGTGTGTGTGTGTGTGTGTGTGTGTGTGTGTGTGTGTGTGTGTGTGTGTGTGTGTATGTACTCACCTATTTGTACTTGCGGGGGTTGAGCTCTGGCTCTTTGGTAACTCTGAGCTCTTTGGCTGTTCGGTGTGTGTGTGTGTGTGTGTGTGTGTGTGTGTGTGTGTGTGTGTGTGTGTGTGTGTGTGTGTGCACGCCCCTAGCTGTGATTGAGAGGGGTTGAACTTCAGCTCTCGAGCCCCACATATCACTATTTCATACTGGCAAACCCCCTCAGTCACAATAATGATCCCCGAAGTCTACTACGATGATATATTGATACTGAAGGTCCCTATCGGGGATCATTATTTTTCCTTCCCCCAGACAACACCGGCTCAGGCGAGTCCTCACACCTCATGCTGGTGTTCGTGGGGGCTGTCAGCGGCTTCGTCCTCATCTTGACTCTCCTAGCAATAGCCACGCGTTTCCGATGCCGGCGCCGTCGTAGGATTCCAGACGTAGCGGCCGCCAACAACAAACCCAGAGAGGAAGGTAAACACTCCAGATGAGAGGAACGACACGCTGAGAGATATACCGGGAGAGAGAGAGAGGGAGAGAGAGGGAGAGTGGGAGGGAGAGAGAGAGAGAGAGAGAGAGAGAGAGAGAGAGAGAGAGAGAGAGAGAGGGAGAGAGAGAGAGAGAGAGAGAGAGAGAGAGGAGAGAGAGAGAGAGAGAGAGAGAGAGAGAGAGAGAGAGAGAGAGGAGAGAGACAGAGACAGAGAGAGAGAGAGAGAGAGAAGATAGATACAAAACATGAGTGAAAAAGTAGAAGGAGTAAAGGTCAGGAGGCAGTAAGTAATGTAGTCCAAGAATGTGATAATAATACACATGGTGGTAACCACCACTACAGTCTGTGATGGCAGCAATTGCCACGATAACTACCTGTTTGGGTAATTAGAGTGACCGTCGCCTTGGAGGCGCGTGCACCCGTGCTAGGAAGTCTTCCTCTAGTTGTGTACACTGGCCGGAGCTTCCTGGCGGGGGCTCGAACCCCGTTCAGAAAATTGCCTATGATTTGAGGCTAATTACATACGTACATAGGACAAATTATGTGTTTAATTACCTAAGTGTAATTACCTAAGAGTAATTACATAATTGTAATTACTTAAGTATTCACCTATTTGTACTCACCTATTTGCGCTTGCGGGGGTTGAGCTCTGGCTCTTTGGTCCCGCCTCTCAACTGTCAATCAACAAGTGTAATTAGGTGTAATTACCTAATTGTAATTACTAAAGTGTAATTACTGAAGTGTCATTACCTAAGTGTAGTTACAGGATGAGAGCTACGCTCGTGGTGTCCCGTCTTCCCAGCACTCTTTGTCGTATAACGCTTTGAAACTACTAACGGAGTTGATTCACAGAGATCACAGTAACGTGACTGCTTCACTGAGAACATTCGTAGGAGCCGTGATGAAGGCTCGAACCTATGCGGTGGGTGTTCCTACACACACACACACGCCCTTGACGACCAAACCATGACATGGTATATGGATTGCCACCTGGAGTTCTACTGCCCAGAACTAAGGTCTCCATCACTCCAGTTATTTAACTTCTACAGCACTGTTTCGTATAAGATTTTCGTAAAAGAGTTTAGTAAAAGAAACTGTTTGTGATCAGTTTAGTATTTCTCCATCCAAATATACGTCCAACCACTTGGGCTGGACGGTAGAACGTCAGTCTCGCTTCATGCAGGTCGGCGTTCAATCCCCGACCGTCCACAAGTGATTGGACACCATTCCTTCCCCCCCGTTCCATCCCAAATCCTTATCCTGACCCCTTCCCAGTGCTATATAGTCGTGGTGGCTTGGCACTTTCCCCTTGATAATTCCCTCCCTCTATCCAAATATTTAATTACTATTCTGATATTTGATATGATCTTGTAATGACATATATCAAGACCCGTCGCCTAATTTCTTCGTCTGAGCTAAAATGCTATTTTTTTTTAACAAATCCACAAGGGCCGTGACGAGGATTCGAACCTGCGTCCGGGAGCATCCCAGACACTGCCCTAATCGACTGAGCTACGACAGGGTAAAAGAATTGAAGAGATGTAAGGGCGAAGAGGGAGAACGGCCTATTGACATAGCTCGGGTGCAGGGGGGAGTTGTGTAAAATCCTGGTTTGTGCCTCGGAGAGGCTGCAGGATCTAGTAAGTTCAGTAGAACTTCGGTTTCAACTCTTTTAACCCTGTCGTAGCTCAGTCGATTAAGGCAGTGTCTGGGATGCTCCCGGACGCAGGTTCGAATCCTCGTCACGGCCCTTGTGGATTTGTTCATTTGATGCATCACGTTAGTGTGATCTCTGTGTGTAATGCTATTTTTTGTTCGCTATATATCTCTTGGTTGTGTTGTGTTTGTGTTGGTGCTGTGTTGTGAAGGTGAACACAGTCACCATCAGATCTTACAATGAGGAAGACTAGTGTATAATGAGGACAAACACAGAGTCACCATAACATGTTACAATGATGGAGAAGGTGTATGGAGAAGTTATAATGATGCAGACAGTGTTTACTAAAAATATAATAGATAGATGATAGATACTTTATTCAAAATTGCTCGTTTTGTACATTTATAGATAAGTTAGTTTACACAAATTTACAGTAAATTATTTACCTAAGAAAGTCATAAAAATAACATTAAATATCTGCAATGATAAACTGTATACTTAAGAATTATATTAAGATTTAGAAGCTACATTTATCTATTATTTTAAAAATCATTATAGTTGTGGCATTAACCGTAAGACACTGCCTCTTAACTTACACCAATGGTCACATTAATGACTGGACAAAACAGGTGGACACCGGACTAAATCAGACTTTACAGTTAGCCTTAAAGTATCATTCATCTTACGACGTGAATGGTGATATATATTGGAAAACGTAAAGTTTAGTTTACCATAAAAAACAGTGAAAAAAAATATTGCCAAACTTTAATATTACAAAACATAGAATGATAAGAATACAATTTAGAGGACTAATAAAAAATTATTGAGTATAATTATTAATTATTAATCTGAGTTTAATTAATAGGACTCTCACTGTGTTCTATAATCTCCTTGTGACAACAGTTCATTCAAATGTTTATATATCAATTGTTATGTGGCATATATATGTTCGTGCAATGTTTCGTGTCTGTTCTCTTGGAAAAGGGAAGTTTTGGTTAATCTCTTCGGGTCGAGGATAGAGCGACGGTCTCGCTTCATGCAGGTTGGAGTTCAATCCCCGATCGTCCAAGTGGTTGGGCACCATTCCTTCCCTCCGTTCCATCCCAAATTCTTATCCTGATCTTGATAATTCCCTTCCTTTCTCTGGAAAACACCGACTGTAGTTTTCCATCTTTTAATCCATCAAGGCGGATTATTCCAGTCCTAATCCAAATCCTATTTTCTTTTATAGGATTTATAGGATATAGGATTCCAAATCCTATAATCCTAATCAACGTCTTACAGTCCATGATTAATCAAGTTACAGTTCTTTATCCAGAGTCTAAATGCTCCTCAACCTTAATCCTGAAAGTTGCCATGTCTTCAAGACAACTATACAGTATTGTCATTTTCTTGACAGAAAATGGCCACACTGTTGCTGTAATTCAGGTGGTAATGTATAACTTTGTTTAATTTACAGTGCCGCTCAAACCACTGTCTCCCAGCTCCTTAGACGAGGTACCACAAGACATTATTTCTCCCGAAACTCAAGTTCAAGTTAGTGAACCTCAGGTGAGTGAGTGAATGAGTGAGTGGGTGAGTGAGTGAGAGAGTGAGTGACTGAGTGAGAGCTGGCCACACCTCCAGTACTCACCACTCTCACTTCCCATACTTACTAAAGTTCCTCGCCTAACCGAACTAACAAACCTAACCTAACCAAACCTAACCGAACAAAACACACTCAAACATTACTCACCATTCTAACGATGGCAAGGGGGCAGGTAACCTAATATTAGCACGAGACTAGTAGGGAAAAGAGATAATGTTATTCACGGAAGCCATTACGGATCACTTTACATTTTAAGCACCACAACAATCTGACCTGATTGGCAGATTACCCAACCAATTGCTCTCACTGTATTTATTGGCTGCAGTTTTAACCTTGAAATTGAAGCTGAAGTTGAAGGTATATTTTGATGATTGATGATCAAATGGTTGTCAGTCTACGTTTGTAGGAAGATAAGAGAGTGTGGGTGAGCAGGTGGTTGGTGGGCCTAATGGGGCCGTCTGAGTTATTCATGAATATATGAATAACTTATTATTTACGGGTCGAGAGAGGGTGTTGTTGTTGTTGTTGTTGTTGTTGTTGTTGTTGTTGTTGTTGTTGTTGTCACAGTGACTGTTGTTGTTGTTGTTGTTGTTGTTGTTGTTGTTGTTGTTGTTGTTGTTGTTGTTGTTGCTGTCGTCACTGTGACTGTTGTTGTTGTTACTGTTGTTGTGGTTGTTGTGGTTGTTGTTGTTGTTGTTGTCGTCACTGTGACTGTTGTTGTTGTTGTTGTTGTTGTTGTTGTTGTTGTCACAGTGACTGTTGTTGTTGTTGTCACAGTGACTGTTGTTGTTGTTGTTGTTGTTGTCACAGTGACTGTTGTTGTTGTTGTTGTTGTTGTTGTTGTTGTTGTTGTTGTTGTTGTTGTTGTTACTGTTGTTGTTGTTGTTGTTGTTGTTGTTGTTGCTGTCGTCACTGTGCCTGTTGTTGTTGTAGTTGTTGTTGTTGTTGTTGTTGTTGTAGTTGTTGTTGTTGTTGTCGTCACTGTGACTGTTGTTGTTGTTGTTGTTGTTGTTGTTGTTGTTGTTGTTGTTACTGTTGTTGTTGTTGTTGTTGTTGTTGTTGTTGTAGTTGTTGTTGTTGTTGTTGTTGTTGTTGTCGTCACTGTGACTGTTGTTGTTGTTGTTGTTGTTGTTGTTGTTGTTGTTGTTGTTGTTACTGTTGTTGTTGTTGTTGTTGTTGTTGTTGTTGTTGTTGTTGTTGTTGTTGTTACTGTTGTTGTTGTTGTTGTTGTTGTCACAGTGACTGTTGTTGTCACAGTGACTGTTGTTGTCACTGTTGTTGTCACAGTGACTGTTGTTGTCACTGTTGTTGTCACAGTGACTGTTGTTGTCACAGTGACTGTTGTTGTCACAGTGACTGTTGTTGTCACTGTTGTTGTCACAGTGACTGTTGTTGTCACAGTGACTGTTGTTGTCACAGTGACTGTTGTTGTCACTGTTGTTGTCACAGTGACTGTTGTTGTCACAGTGACTGTTGTTGTCACAGTGACTGTTGTTGTCACAGTGACTGTTGTTGTCACTGTTGTTGTCACAGTGACTGTTGTTGTCACTGTTGTTGTCACAGTGACTGTTGTTGTCACTGTTGTTGTCACAGTGACTGTTGTTGTCACAGTGACTGTTGACCGGCACATGGGCCGCCTCCTCCCTGGCTGTGTACAACAACTCCACCTCCAACGCTTCTCTTCATATACACAAAGACGTCAATGATAAACTCAGTAGGAAACATGGGAAGGATTCGAACCCGTGTACTGATTCTGAGACGTGAACTTGAGAGTACCCAGTACGCAGGTTCGAATCCTCTTCACGGCTCCTACTGATTGTCTCAATAGTATCGCAGTCAGAGATGATCTGAACGGCGCTGATTTTGTCATATATTTGTCATATACAAATATGATTTTGTCATATACCAGAAAGTTTAAAGAAATCCTCACTTGTCATGATCTTAAACAAAAAAATAATTGATGTTCGAAATAAATTAAATTTAATACATAATTTAAACACAATAATTATATTAATTACAATAAGGCTATTACAACCAAAATATCATAAAATTTGTTCGTTATAAAACAATTTTAAGATTCAAATCTCATAGACTATATTTTGTTGTATTAATTAAGAAAAAAAAATTCTTCAATATGATGAATATGGAAAAATTCATCATATGGATGAATATCCATATTCATCCATATGGAATATTGAGTCCTCGAACACATAATGACATGTTTACTCCCTCCCAGATACCGGAGAGTCCGGGATGTGGGCGTCGGGTCCAGACGTATGTGCCCAGCCCGCCCACCCACTCCTGCACCCTGCCACGCCCACACCCCCGCCCACAGCCCCTCCACTCCGTCGACCTCCCACACATGACCTCCAGCAACCATAAGTACTATACACTCAAGATTAACTGTACCAGACAGAGCAATGAGAGCTTCGTCTGAGACCTTTGTTCCCTTGAAGCTTCGTCTGGAACGTTTCTTCTCCGGAGCTTCGTCTGGAACCTTTGTTCTCCTGAAGCTTCGTCTGGAGCCTTTGTTCCCCCTGAAGCTTCGTCTGGAACCTTTCTTCTCTGGAGTTCGTCTGGAACCTTTGTTCTCCTGAAGCTTCGTCTGGAACCTTTGTTCCCCTGAAGCTTCGTCTGGAACCTTTGCTCTCTGGAACTTCGTCTGGAACGTTTGCTCTCTGGAGCTTCGTTTGGAACGTTTGCTCTCTGGAGCTTCGTCTGGAACGTTTGCTCTCTGGAGCTTCGTCTGGAACGTTTGTTCTCTGAAACTTCGTCTGGAACGTTTGCTCTCTGGAGCTTCGTCTGGAACGTTTGCTCTCTGGAGCTTCGTTTGGAACGTTTGCTCTCTGGAGCTTCGTCTGGAACGTTTGCTCTCTGGAGCTTCGTCTGGAACGTTTGTTCTCTGAAACTTCGTCTAGAACGTTTGCTCTCTGGTGCTTCGTCTGGAACGTTTGCTCTCTGGAGCTTCGTTTGGAACGTTTGCTCTCTGGAGCTTCGTTTGGAACGTTTGCTCTCTGGAAGGCAATGTTTCTCCTCAAAATTCCGTCACTGGCCAACAATATTGTCACTAAAGTCTTCGGAACACTTGTGTTACTGAACCAGAGATAACATTAAGATGAAGAAGTTTCGTCAGAGTGATAGACCACGTCTCAAGCCCTCAACACTATCCTTCAACAGCCACAGAACTGATATATCAGGACGGCCGTCGACCCTGAGAGTGACCTCTGGTGGTCAACCCAGGTCATTACTGACTATCCCATGGCACTGTGGCTCTCTGGCGCCCCCGGGTCACGCCGGTGAACTGACTCAGTATAACGGTCGCTATGTGAGGGAGTAATATATATACAGTGTCCTTTACCATATTGGTATCAAATGCGCCATTATCCGTTACTTGTGCAATGCTTTTTGCAACACACGGCAGTACCGTGGTTAGTGAAAGACTTGACACACCCTGTATGTGGGTGTGGTTCACTAAACTGTTGTAGTGTCGCCATATTGGTGACACATACACGAGGCTGTATTAGTACTGTATGTGTGTATGTGTGTATGTGTGTGGTATTATGAAGCAATATAGAGTCAACCAACATGTTTTGTGATATGTTAAAAATGTTTATAATGTTTTGTGTGAAAAGATTAAAATGTTAGAAAATAAAAATGGAATTTCTGATAGAGATGACTCACTGAACAGACATTATAGATAAGGTGGTGAAATATTAAATATTTTTATGTTAATGGGGCGAATTATGCTGGTATGTGGCGAGTATATGACCAGAACACATATGAATACTTATATGCATGCATGCATACATACATACATACATACATACATACATACATACATACATACATACATACATACATACATACATACATACATACATGCATGCAAAACATAGATACATGCAAAACATAAATACATTCACACTCATACATGAGCGGGTGCGCGCGCACACACACACACACACACACACACACACACACACACACACACACACACACACACACACACACACACACACACACACACACACACACACACACACACACACACACACACACACACACACACACACACACACACACACACACACACACACACACACGCACAACGGGGAAATTAACACGGAAAGACAAGGATGGATTATTTAACACGAGTGGAACACGAACAAGGGAACACAGGTGGAGACTGAGTACCCACATGAGCCACGGGGACGTTAAAAACAACTTTGTCAGTATCAGAGTAGTTAACAGATGGAATGCATTAGGCAGTGATGTGGTGGAGGCTGACTCCATACACAGTTTATAATATAGATATGATAGAGCCCAGTAGGCTCAGGAACCTGTACATCAGTTGATTGAATTGAGAGCTGAGGCTGGAACCCCTGCAAGCACAACTAGGTGAGTAGACACCCACAAACAATGATGACGAGCTTACACAAACACACACAAACAAGCCTACAAACTCCATCACTCAATCAAAGTGTTTTCAATTAAACAAAACTTATATTAAGTGATCCTTTTAAATTATTTTGTAAGAGGATTCAAAATCTTTACGTAACCGCTAATATCAAAATGTAATTAATTTATTATTGGATCAAAATATCATGAGTAATTATTTCGAAACTATATATATATATATATATATATATATATATATATATATATATATATTTATATATATATATATATATATATATATATATATATATATATATATTTTGTATATATATATAATCTACTTGACTGAAGACCAGGGTTGACATATCAACATGTTGGCGTTTTGTGAAAAGGTGATAATGATATTTCTCGCTGTTATTGTTGGTTAATCATATCTCTCTTCCTCTCTGTCTCTCTGTCTCTCTGTCTCTGTCTGTCTGTCTGTCTGTCTCTCTCTCTCTCTCTCTCTCTCTCTCTCTCTCTCTCTCTCTCTCTCTCTCTCTCTCTCTCTCTCTCTCTGTGTACACAGCCTCTCTCTCTCTCTCTCTCTCTCTCTCTCTCTCTCTCTCTCTCTCTCTCTCTCTCTGACATCTCTCTCTCTCTCTCTCTCTCGCTGTATCTATCTCTCTCTGTCTCTCTCTCTCTCTCTCTCCCTCTCTCCCTCTCTCTCTGTGTACACAGCCTCTCATTCTGTTTGTACAGGACCTGACATGCTGTTTGTTCAGGGCCTGACATGCTGTTTGTTCAGGGCCTGACATGCTGTTTGTTCAGGGCCTGACATGCTGTTTGTACAGGACCTGACATGCTGTTTTTTCAGGGCCTGACATGCTGTTTGTTCAGGGCCTGACATGCTGTTTGTACAGGACCTGACATGCTGTTTTTTCAGGGCCTGACATGCTGTTTGTTCAGGGCCTGACATGCTGTTTGTTCAGAGCCTGACATGCTGTTTGTTCAGAGCCTGACATGCTGTTTGTTCAGAGCCTGACATGCTGTTTGTTCAGGGCAACTACTGCTTCTGAACAAGATTATATTACATGTTTATATTTTGGAAAAAAATAAAGGTTTTCATGCTTTCTATTGAGACTTTGATTTACAGCCTTGTGTATGGCTCTCATAACATTTGTTTATTGATAAATGAGAAATCCAAGAAGACCAAAAAACAGAGTGAGTTTATGAGTTTCATACATTGCCAGAAACCCTGCTGCCAAGGCCATTACCTTAAATTAATGTCCGTAATAAATAGTTAAATTTAATAACATTGTTATTTTTCTAAAGCCAGCAGCCATTGTCCTCACCGGGCTGAGACCATTTGGCAGAAGGGCCTCGAAAACATGAAACTAACGTAAGTGTAATTATTTCTCAAACTGTTGTCATATGTTCGGATTAAGATCCCGAACCGAAGTGAGTTCGAGTGAAACCTCTGATGGTAATTATACTCTGTACGAACTGAGTGAAACTTTACTGAAACTATCGCCTTCATATAGCTGCATATATGTAAAGTAATTAGATGGTTGACAACAGGTTTATAACAAAACTATAACAAATTTATATTTATACAAATTATAAACAAATTATAACAAATTTATACCTAGAAAATTGTTCTCGAGTTTAGTGAATAATAAATTATATTACTAAAATTATATATTTTTATTTTTGTTGTCAAAATATTTAGCGAGGTGAAGTTGGCGGGCAGCGACAAAAATTGTCGCTGGGGTTAAATTATATCTGCCTGGCACTGTGTTCCCTCTCGACCGACCTATGTGAGCCCCGTACCCCAGACCTGTTCCCCTGCAAGGTTGAGTGTTTTAAGCCTCTGGCCTCATATCTCGGACAAAGGGACAGGTATTTTCTCTCACAGATATAGATTGTGCGATTTTATACACATTTACACTATTTTATACACATTTACACTATTTTATACACATTTACACTATTTTATACACATTTACACTATTTTATACACATTTACACTATTTTATACACATTTACACTATTTTATACACATTTACACTATTTTATACACATTTACACTATTTTATACACATTTACACTATTTTATACACATTTACACTATTTTATACACATTTACACTATTTTATACACATTTACACTATTTTATACACATTTACACTATTTTATACACATTTACACTATTTTATACACATTTACACTATTTTATACACATTTACACTTAGTATTCACATTCCAATTTATATTCCTTATATTATTTTCACTTCTTTTCTATATCACAACTTACAGAAAATTATCCTAGCTCCATCTTATATAGTGGTCCCACTGTGTGTACTTTGTTCTCACTCTTGTTATGCTGTGTTCTCTATACTGTTCATCTGTATGTTCAAACATTTGTTACACAGTGTTCTTCACACTATTGTTACAAACTGTTCTTCTTAATATTATTTCAAAGAATTTTTGACTATTGTTACAAAGTGTTCTTCACACAGTTGTTATTAAGTGTTCTTAACTACTGTTACAAAGTGACATTCTTACTATTGCTACAGCGTGTTCTTTTTAGTACTGTTACAAAGTGTTCTTCACGGTACTGTTACAAAGTGTTCACACTGGGAATAATGGATCAAATGAAAATGTGTCAGAAGCTTCACAGAACGATTTTGCCATAAACAAAGAGAGTAATATATGTTTAGATTTACAGTTACCCCCACAGCCCCCCATGTTCTATGTTCCATGGTAGACTCGGCTGTGTTGAGGCCCACACAAGACTCGCAACCCACACAATATACACACTACCCGCACAAGCCACACACTACCCGCACAAGCCACACACTACCCGCACAAACCCCACACTACCCGCACAAGCACACACACACTTCCCGCACAAGCACACACACTACCCGCACAAGCACACACACACTACCCGCACAAACCCCACACTACCCGCACAAGCACACACACTACCCGCACAAGCCACACACTACCCGCACAAGCCACACACTACCCGCACAAGCCACACACTACCCGCAC